CTCGCTTTTTCCCCAACGGAGTGTAAGTAAATGGACCGTCCATCATCCAAGCCTGATATTGGGAGCACACCGTGTTCTTAAATGGCTTGTTAATACATTTCTCAACACTAAACGACTTCAAGAGAAAAGCAAACAAACGGAAATTTGCATACGTGCTTAATAGCACGTGCTCAGTAACATGACACCCATGAAAACAATAAAAGCGTTGGAACCTTGCTTCGAATTCCGAGATTCGTGTGTGTTTCCATTGGCTTTTGAATTTATGATCAGTTTAATCATATTTCCGGTTACTGCAAAACATTTTTCTTCACAGAGCCTTTAATACAAAACCACTTGCGAAGACCCTGGAAGGTGTCATTTATTCACTTATTTTGTTTGAATTTTTCGTATCGTGTCAACTTTTTCCTTTTGTAACCTTGGAGACATTAGAATCCTTAAGCAACGACGATGGCAGTGAAAATGTCGCTAAAAAAGTGAATTTGCGTTAACTCTTTCAAACTTAATGGCGTCTATTTGGACCCGCTCAATATGTCAAATGCAGGCGACTTTTCCCAGAGTTGAACTCGTAAGGATTTTATTCAACTTCAAAAAGAGGAAGGAAAATTCGTCGTCGTATGTCCACGTCCTCAGGAAACGTCAAATTAGGACATTTCGTAGTCGTGCTAAAAAGCGTGATGCACGTGCATTAAACCTATTGCTTTTTAAAGTTGTCATCATCGTCATTGTCGTATTATTATGTAATTATAACTCTGCGTCTCAGGTGAACAAAAAGTAGGTCAGCGATGTTTTAATACAGGTTTTCTTAGTCAATGAAAGCCGAAAGCCAGTGGTGTCAGTGGCATGTATTCAAATGAAACCGCTTTAGCGGTAAATTAGTTGTGTTTATTCATACGCGACTGCCATTAATTCACAGTCGGAAGCTTGTAAAATTTTGAATTTTCACTTTCGTGCTTTATTGACACTTTCGGGGATGGCCAAATTTTGTCAGTTTCTTTATTTTGGACCCTGCACTACGTGTAGAGGTGTATTTTCGATTCGTACCTTACACATAATATTAATATAGGTAATAGCATGATTTGTAGTGATATTTGGCATATATACCGCGGGTGATATTTCGAAGTTGTTATACATAATTTCACGAGTCGTTAGGCGAATGAAATTTGAGACAATTATCTCGAGTGGTATTTATGGTAGAGAAATATCTCGAGTGGTATTTATGGCAAATATCACGAACAAATCATGCTATTATTTTTTTATACTACGACCCGCAAAAGGTTTGTAATTTTCACTTGTAGGTATTTCAAATAAAGCTGAAATACCACTGCTCTAAGCCAATCAAATTGCAGTAATTTCTCATGTAGCAGTATAAGGTATTTAATTACCTCAACTGTTAAAATTTTTCGGGTAAAATTTCCTTTGAGATGATGGACGACTGATTTATTTTACTGTGTTTGTATATGCATGACGGTTTCTCATACTTTCCAAATATTTGTCCATTTTCCTATTGTACATGTATGTACTTCATTGTTACTAAACACCTGCCTGCAATGGTCATCCGTTGAACTTCTACAAACTGGAATGATTTTGAAGATAACTCATGCCGGGGCATGCAATTAGACGTAGAAAGTTAAAATCAGGGGGGGGTAAGAGACGAGGTCTGGGACCGAGAAACGATGCTCTCACAACTTGCAAAGCGGTCACCCAGCGTGGTGGTCAGCGGATAATTACAGTATTTTTCCCACAGTAAAATAATATTTTTACACTTTTTAGAAGCAAGAAGGGAACCGACAGAGGAAATCAGAAATGCTTCAAAAATTGAAAAAAATAATATCATGCACCTTTGTTTTTCTTGAATATTGTATTTGTCTTTTGCTACTGAAATGCGGGGGGACACTAAAACGTAACCGTACTAGATCTTAACCAACAACAACGCGCTCGATGGATTTATTTATAGGTTACATCCTTTTTCCCGGGCAAGGATAACTTGATGCTGATAAAATTACTGGAGCAAGTGTCAAATTTATCGTACGCAAGTATATTCAAGAGAGCTTTATAAAAATGAGCTTACTGCTCTTCATATCATAACTGAATAAAAATTAACACTTTATAACATTTCACTTCGTTTATTTCGATCAGTCAACACCTTGAATCCAAAGTTAAAATTCAAAACGATCCTAAAACAAATCACAACTACTACTGAAAGCTCTGTACCTTGAAGCGACTTTAACTTTCCTAAGGTTTTCAGCAAAACACTGCTCGATAGCTCTGACAACCAGCGTGACAACTCTTCGGCGAATCTTAGCAGCTATACGGAGCTATATGTTGCATATTCCACACTCTGCAAAGGGAAATTGTTTAACAGAAAAAGAAAACCACACACTATGTCTGAAAAGCGACATAAAATCAATAAATTTGCGAATTACCAAAAAATAATGGTGAGAATCAGTCCCGCCTTCGACTGCCATGTTTTTGTTTTTGTTTTTTCTCAAGCCCGTTGATC